TGTGTGTGTGTGTGTGTGTGTGTGTGTGTGTGTGTGTGTGTGTGTGTGTCAGTCAAAGTTTAAGTGCTTTTGAAATGGGCTGCCGCTTGCCGTCTTCCACTTACTGCTGCACTTGCACTTAAAGATGTAGTGTTTTTTTGCTTACACTGGTTATTGTTACTGCCTGGCCTTTTCTTTCTGTCTCTTCCATCACCTCAGGCAGCCTTGCAATTCTGTATTTTCTCTCTCTCTCTCGTATCATTTGCTTCCCTGCTCTTTCCTGTTGCAGTGTTTGGCAGCCATAACATTACTCTCTGAATTTCTTTGTAAACATCAGCCTTTGCAGAGATAGCATAGGGTCACACAGCCATCCAAAAATCGACTATAAAAGGCATATGTAATTTAAATTGCATAACAATAAAATGTTCTTATGCCATTCATACAGCTTTAACATTTTATTTTAATATTACTTTCATAATTTTTTACATTAAAAAAAAGAAAAGTTTACGTTGTAAAATGTTAATGCTACTAAAGAATAACACATATATTGCAGTATTTATTATACAAGTAATACATGTGTTAGTAAAAAATATTTTCGTAGCATATTCTATTCTTTTGTAGCTTTTAACATGTTATGATTTAATTTTTTTTAAATTCAATAGTATTTAATACATTTATTTAAATAAATAATAAATGCATTTGTTTTTATATCAAATTAAACTTTTCATAATTTATTTGCGTGTATGTTAGGAGCATATATAGCTATTCTTTTGTAGCTTCACTTTTTGCAGCATTTTTATAGTTGCAGCAGTTTTGTTTTTTTTTTCGTAGCATATTCTATTCTTTTGTAGCTTTTAACATGTTATGATTAAATTTTTTTTAAATTCAATAGTATTTAACACATTTATTTAAATAAATAATAAATGCATTTGTTTTTATATCAAATTAAACTTTTCATAATTTATTTGCGTGTATGTTAGGAGCATATATAGCTATTCTTTTGTAGCTTCACTTTTTGCAGCATTTTTATAGTTGCAGCAGTTTTGTTTTTTTCCCCCCGTTTATTATTATTATTTAAAGATTTAAATTGATCAAAAGTGTCAGTAAAAACATTTAGTATTTTATATAAGATTTATATTGGGGGGAAAAATGCTGTTCTTAAAAAAGAAAGATATAGTAGTAAAATCACAAAATAAATGCATCACTGTTTTCAACATTGATAAATGTTTGAGTACAATCATATAATATATATATTATTTTTAGCAATATTTTTGCAATGTTTTTAATGTATTTTTAATCAAATTTATGCGGTCTTGGTGAGCATTAGAAAACTTATTTCTAAAACATTAAAAAAGTACATTTAATAAAAGAAAAATCTAAGCACTTTGGTCATAAGTTAATACTTTTTTTCTACAAAGTTAGGACCAAGTACAAACTCTCTGGTGGGCTGTCAGAGTGACTGTTTTTGAATGCCCCTGTGTATTATTTCTATAATACTTATCAAATATAAAAAAAACACATTTAAGGCATACATTTTGAGAAGTTGTCCTGGACAAGTTAAAACTCTTTCATAGAAGTTTCACCCCTAAAATCATCCCCTCTGAAGCATCTCCAGCCATCAAAGTGCCACTTTTGTAATAAATTTACCGCCTTCGGTACATTTCAAGCCTATTACTGTCAGACTTCAAATTGTCTGCTGTGAGAAATGTTCCCGTTATTATGTGTAATCCATTTTTTGGGATAGTTTTGCACAATAAAGGTTTATAGTGATTTAACGGAGTTATTTGTCAGTCACCCTACTGAGGGGCTATGTTTATATACCGCTGAGAAATGCATCAGCTTAATTATACAGGGCTTCATAAAGGCATCTCTCACAACCAATTTTACTTCCAAAATCTGACATATTTCCAGGTGAAATAGGTTATTCAGCTGGGAAAAAAATGATATAAGATGGGTCTCTTATTCATGGTGAGTTGATTGGATTGTGAAAAGTGTCTTGCATAACACTCGAGTGTGGAGTTTGGTGGGAGATGTTGATTTGTGTGGTTTTGGAGTGGAGCGTATCCTGAGACGGTAACCGAGTGGAAGGAATGAGGCAGGGAGGTGTGGTGGAAAGATGAAGCTGTCACATCTGTCGTTTGGCTGTGTGGTTTACTGGGGCGTCCTTGCCCTCCTCTGGGCCGTTTTACAATGTTGTTTCTCTCTCTCCAAACTTATCCTTTGCTTTCCCCTTCCTCTCTCTTTCCACTCTTCTCTCCATTTTAAAGACGGAATGATCTGCCCATTTACTTGGCTGCTGTGTTGCAAACTTGTGGCAGTTGCACAAGTCACGTGATAGTCTTAATGTCTCCCACTGCGCCTGTAAACGTACACTTATTTATAAACTAGTTACTCAAGAGCATTTGTGTGTAGTCCGTTTTATTTTATTTGCGTTTTTAAATTTAGTTTATAGTTTTTAAGTGTTGGTCTTAAGATTTAGGCTATGTTAAGATTGTCATTAACATTAATATCATTATTTTTTATTATTATATTAAGTGTTAATTTAAAAAAAGTGTATTTTTATTATTATTAATACTTTATGCATTACATGAAACAAAGACATCTAAAAACAATTATATTTCAAACAAATTCTGTTCTTTTAATCTTTCCATTCATCAAAAAACCTGAAAAGAATGTATCACTAATGCATTAAATTGATCAAAAGTGCCAGTAAAAACATTTATAATGTTATATAAGATTTCTATTGGGAAAAACTGCTGTTCTTAAAAGATAATAGTGATAAAAAATAATTATGATGATGATGATAAAAAAATCACAAAATGCATGCATCACACCTTTCATTTTCACTATTGATAATAAATGTTTCTTGAGTACCAAAATCAGCATGTCGTCATGTATGTAATATTCCTGTTCTTACTATATTTTTAATCAAATATGATGTCTTGGTGAGCGTTAGAGACTTTTATTTCTAAAACATTTTTTAGAAAGTAAAAAAAAAAAAAACCTTACAGAATATACACACTTATATAGTACATACACAAGCGTGTTTATGTGAAGATGTCAAACAAATTGTGAGTTGCTTGCTGTGTTGAGACCATAGACTGTATAAAAACATGGACGTAGTGTGACGTAACCCGTTGACTTCCGACGAGCGTTTTGAAGCCTAAAGTAGGCGGAGCCAACCGTCGCCATCTTGGCAGCGTGTCACTCTCGGATAATCAAAAATGGGCAAAGAGGCGGGAGCTGGCTGCTGAAACCGCGCCCACCTAGCTCGACGGTGGTGACAGCAGCGGCAATCCACCTGTCACTCAAGTGGCCACGCCCTTAATTATGCAGAACTTTAATGCTTAATATAATTTAAACAGATGAGTTATAAAAAAAATTCACCCCCTCACAGTTGTCATGAAGGGCAAAATTAGCTATATAGACCAAAATCATTTTTTGAACCAGGCTGTTTTTTTTTCTGCTGTAAAGTTCCAGCCTCTAGCGGCCAGTCGATGAATTACAGTTTAAGTCACTTCCTTGTTGGCATCACGAGAGAGAGCAGGAGATTTGCCGCTCGGTTGAGACATGTTACTCAAAGCTCTACATGTCTGGGCCGTGACCCGACCTCCCGCACCTCTTCAGGCTCTTCAGATTGCAGAAAACACATGGTTTCAGTATAACGCACGCCCCTATAATTGTCCCATGATTACACCAGTTTGTTCGCATTTTAGAAGTGTAATCTTACGGTTACTCGGAATAAATCACTTTCATCACAGTTGAGAAATGTTTGTGTAGAGCTTTAATGACAGGCCGGGCATAGCTGCTTCCTGTTTCAGGAAAAGAGGAAGAACATGGTAATGTAAACGAGAGTGTCTCCTATCTACAGGAAGGATGACAAGGGACGAGAGGAGGGAAACTTGACTCAGTGGGGGATTTTGTTTGAACTAGTGAAACCAGATTTGGGGCTTTTCGGTGATTAAAACGCAAAGTCCTCTTGTATTCTCCCACTTTCTCTGACCTTTCATGACAAACATGATAGAGTAACTTGCTATCTTGGATGTTTTTGCAGTGGTAAAAAGTAAAAATCTCAGCTTGTCCAGAAGCGTGTGCCGTGTTACCTGCGCTCTGGCCAGTAAATGTTTAGCAGCTCTGTCGCTGCTATGAGTTGTGCAGTGAAGCAGGCATCATCAACCTCAGCCATCGGCAGGAAATGATGCGTTTAGAGGCTGTCGGACATTTTCGTTTTGTCCCTGGAGTGTTTTAAGCGATTCAAAGAGTCAACAGAAAGGTCACCGCATGAGTTTGTGTGCTGCCGAGGACACATGGATAGGACTGACAGACTCCCAGTGCGATCAAGCCATGTATAAGCAAGCAAACAAACCAAATCAAATTAAAATCCATTTGATGGGGCGAACAGTGACCCTAGAGCACAGGGAATATGTCTTTAGAGATAATAAGGAAACTCCGAAGCAGATATGTTTATTCTGCTCGCTCCAGATAATATCTTTCTTTATGAGAATAGACAGATGGGCGTCGATACCGATATGGTGGCCGATATATCGTGCATCCCTAGTTTTTATAGATCGCATGAAATCAAAGTCCATGCTGGTTTGCTTTTAAGGCCATATGCTAAAAATACAAATAAACAAATATTTATGTATTTGTAAGGATCATGTGACACAATTCAGCTTTACATCACAGAAATACTTCGAATATCATATTTGTATTGTATTGATTTAATTGGCTTTTTTTTAGTCTCTGGCTAAAATCAGTCATTATAAAAGAACTCCTGTGTTATGTCTAGGCCCCTATGAGTGTGTTATGACAGGTCTGATTCTGCTTGACATTTACTGGACTATAATAAGAGGGTCCATTAACTTCGTCCCTTAATCTTTCTCTCACCTTTCTTCTTTGTTCTCTCCAGGCGTTGGCAGCTAATGCAGGTACCGGATTTGCCGTTGCGGAGCCGCAGGTTGCCATGTTTTGCGGCAAGCTCAACATGCACATTAACATCCAGACTGGCCGCTGGGAGCCGGACCCTTCCGGATCCAAAACCTGCGTCGGAACCAAAGAAGGAGTGCTGCAATACTGTCAAGAGGTAAAACAATGTTACACAACATAAATGTCCATTAGGATTCATTTCTTGTTCAGTCCTTGGAGGGAGTGAGCAGTGAGCCATCTGCTTGAGCATCCACTTCACAATATGATCAGTTGCTGATTAATGGAAATGCATAGATTGGGTTAAAACTAGCATTTTACTTTTTAATGTTTATTACGTTATTATAAATGTTATAAATTGCACTACTTTGGGGTCAGTTAGAATATTATTAGGTAATTAACATTTTTATTCAGGAAAAATGCATAAAAATGATCAAAAGTGGCAGTAAGTTTAGATTTCTTTTTGGAAAAAATGCTGTTCTTTAGTACTCTCTATTTATCAGAACAATCCTAAAATCTATCACGGTTTCCACCAAAATATTTAAGCAGCATGACTGTTTTCAACATTAATAATAATAAGAAATGTTTCTTGAGCAGCAGATCTGCATATTAGAATGATTTCAGAAGGATCATGTGACACAGGAATAGGCTAAATTATGTTTTAAAATATATACAAATAGAAAGTAAAAAAAAAAAAAAGTAATATTTCACAATATTAATGTTTTGCTGGATTTGTGATGAAATGAATGCAGCTATTGAATGGGAAACTTAGTATTTAACAAAATATGCAAATTGATCCCCCCCCCCTTAATTTATTCCCTATTTTTTTTTTATTTAACCTTTATTTTAACCAGAAAAGACTCTGAGATTTAAAAATCTTTTTCACAAGAGTGTCCTGGCCAAAATGAGCAGCAATACAATCAGTTTCATCACAGATTTACACAAACAAACTAAAAACACTTAAAACAATTATTGCATTTAACTCTCTTTATACACTACTTTCAGACATTGGTGTCTTTTGCAATATTGCCAGTACTGCTGATTTATAAAAGCAATAACCCTCCCAACACACTGTACTCTTAAAAGATCCTTTCCCACAACTATATTAAAAAACACTATTTGGTTAAAAATGTCAAATATTACTCTCATCTGTCATTTGGCTGACTGCAAAAACAGCAATACCGTCCCTGTACATTTTGAGATTGCTTTTCATTGATGTCCTTTTAATGCATTTCAGGAGAGAGTAAATCTTGTGTTAGTTCCAATACGTGAGCAGATGGTGTCTGGAGATTGTGAAGCATGGATCGCCACTTACTGTACAGACTCAATCTCTCCGCTCTCTTGCCTTTAGATGTATCCTGAGCTGCAAATCACAAATGTGGTGGAAGCCAACCAGCCAGTCAAGATCGAGAACTGGTGCAAGAAAGACAAGAAACAGTGCAAGGGCCACGCTCACATTGTGATCCCCTACAAGTGCTTGGGTGAGTGGTGTGTGATTGACAGCTCTGTTGTCCTTTTAAACGGCCAATTATCCAGAATGTCCCGTGGGGTTAAAGACGCCGTTGTTGAAGTGAGACATCTGAGAAGCCAGAGCAGCAGTTCAAAGTGACAGGCGAAGACGTTAAAGATCTCTGAACTGGAGCTCAGTAGGGTTGTGACGGTGAGGAAATCGACATGTGACAACACCGGTAATAACGGTATCACCGTGGGGGCGTTTCCTCTTTTCCTCGCTTTCCTACGCTTTTAAGTGGTTTGCAAAAGTGCTGTGCATTTTACTTTCACTTTCAAATAGCAATTCGGCGTAAACCAATTGTTCGTTTTTAGTTTGTTTGAATTTCCTCTCTTTTCCTCGCTTTCCTTCGCTTTTAAATAGCTTAAAAGCACCGCGCGCATTTTAATTTAACTTTTGAATTAGCTGCAATTCGGCATCAATTGCTTGAATTGCTTGAACAAAATACAACGTCAAACTCACTTTAGCCTATATATAAAACATAGAACTTTTATTAACAAAACGAATAAAAATACACCATGCTATAGGGCAGGCTATGCCTAATATAAAATAAAAAAATAACTTGCATAAAGTTTAAATAGGTATACAAAACTGGAAATAAGTAAACATGTATAATATATAACCAAATAAATAAGAAACGTAGAACGTTTATTAGCAAAATGAATAAGAAAGCTTGGAGGCACGGCATAGGCCTACACCTTGGTGTCAAATAAAATAAATAAATTACACAGTTTAAATAAAGTAAAAATCAGCAAACACTGTGGAACCAATTAAATAAGAAACAAATGTTTAAAAAACTTCCAAAATCACCTTAGATACACGGCAAGTCAACAGGCTTTTCAAAATCCAAAATACTGCCAAACAGGGGCTTTTGCATTTCGTTTCAAAACTAAATCATCCGCCATCTCACCTCACTCTTTTTGTCAGTCAGCTCGACTCCCTCTCCTCACTGAATCTGTGATGCGACTGTCGTTCGGCATGCTGCATTGAGCAGCCGCTCTGTTTTTAATTGTAGTGTCTGTTCTTTTACTGAACTAAATGATTTTTATTACTATAAAAAAAAAAATCAAAACGACGGTGGGGGTCAGTGCCAGGTGGGCAAGTGATGTAACCGGTCTTGTGGCTTAACAACGGTGTCACCGTCAGCAGCACCGTCTATCGCGGCAAGCCTAGAGCTCAGGTAGCTTTTTCTCATCTGTGATTAGCTACAGGCTCCAAAATATATTGCACAATACGAAGAAATGATAAAACATTGAAGTGTTTTGTGACACTACTCCTCCACTTGTTGGAAAAAGTACCTGTAGTTTAACTCAGTTTAATTACGGTCACACGTCTTGAAAAAAACTGAAAGTTCAGTTAGTGCTGCTACTCATTACTCCTGAACACTGGTCTCAGAAAGATGACAATGGGCCAAAAAGCCATTACTGTGTGGAGAACTTTATAGTAATAAAGCAAAATCCCATTTCCTCTTCCAGACAGAGGCTGGTGGAGATCCATTGGGCTGTGAGTGCGTGTATGTGTTGTTGTTTCTTATGCTGCAGAGGCGGCTATAATACATTGCCTCTCCTCCAGGAGGTTTCCCAGCAATTGCCAATGGCAACTTTGTCACCCGAGTGGTTTAAACTGTCAGAGTTTGTATAGTCTCTTTAACACTTTTTCTTTCTTCGCTTTTTCTTTTTTTACCTTGCTAACACGGTCTCTGGCTTATTGACTAGGTGTTTGCGATGAGGTATAGTTGACGTTAAAAGCACATCAATGGAGAATCTCTGCATAATAATGTGACAACATCTTGAGACACATTACCGTTCAAAAGTTTTGGGGTCAATAAGATTATTAGTGTTTTTAAAAGAAGTCACTTATGCTTAAGGCAGAATTGATTTGATTCAAAATACAGTAAAAATGGTAATATGCTGAAATATTATTTCTCAATTTTTTAAAATTGGAAACAACTTTTTCCAATTTGAATGTATGTAAAAATGTAATTTATTTCTGCAATGCAAAGTTGAATTTTCAGCATCATTACACCAGTCTAAGTGTCACATTCAGAAATCATTGTCTTATGCTGATTTGCTACTCAAGAAATGTTTCTGTTATTATCAATGTTGAAAACAGTTGTGCAGCTTAATTTTTTTGTGAAAACTGTGATACATTATTTTCAGGATTCTTTGATGAATAAAAAGTTCAATTAGCAACATTTATTTGTAATAGAAGTCTCTTTTTGTGATGATAATAATAATAATAATAATTTGTGATAATAATGTATTATTTTTATTTAATATTAAAATTGACCCAAACTTTCAAGCTATACAATTCATTAAACCATTTAGCAGTATTTTGCTTGCTTTATGCCATAATGCATGCTGGGAAACAAAGTCCAGAACCACAGAAATCAGAACACAGTACAGTGGGGTTCACAAGTAAGTTCACACTGAAAACTGAGGTTTAAAAATTGTATTAAAACCTGGATAAATAAAAAAATTATATATATATATGTATGTATACGTGTGTGTGTGTGTGTGTGTGTGTGTGTATATATATATAGAGACACACACACTCTGCAGTTCAAAAGTTTGGGATCAGTAAGAGTTTTAATGGAGTCTCTTGTGCTCATCAAGGCTGTATTTATTTGATCAAAAATACAGAAAAAACTGTATTGTGAGATTATTTCAATTTCTAATATTAGTTTTCTGTTTTAATATACTTTAAAATAGAATTTATTTTTTTGATTTTGATCAAGGCTGCATTTTCAGCATCATTACTCCAGTCTTCAGTGTCACATGATCCTTCAGAAATCATTCTAATATGCTGATTTATTATCAGTGCTTATTAACAGTTGTGCTGCTTCATGGTGTTTTAAAAAAAAATTTTTTTTTGGAAACAGCATTTATTTAAAAATAAAATCTTAACAGTGAGTCTTTACTATCACTTTTTATCCATTTAACACATCCTTGCTGAATAAAAGTATTCATTACTTTCAAAAAAAGAAAGAAAAAAATTTACTAACTCCAAACTTTGAATGGTAGTGTATATTGTAACACAAGATTTCCATTTTTAATAAATGCTGTTTTTTTAAATTTTTTTTATTTTATATTCATAAAAAATCCTGAAAGTATCACAGCACAACTGTTTCCAACATTGATAATAAATCAGCATATTAGAATGATTTCTGAAGGATGATTTTTTTTTTCTGTATTTTTGATCAAATAAATACAACCTTGATGAGCACAAGAAACTTCAGTAAAAATATTACAAGTCTTACTGACCCCAAACTAAAAAAAATATTGTTTCTAGGTTACTGATCAAAAACACATTTGTGACCATGAAATGCAGGTCTTTTTTTTAATTTTTTTAAAGGGGTCGTATGATGTTGCTAAAAAGAACATTTATTTTGTGTATTTGGCTCCATTAAATGCGCTGCACACATCTGAATATTTGGGTTGAACTGTTCTGGTCGTGTCCTGTTTTGGAAGGCCAAACAAAGTAGTTTCGCTTTCACAAAGAAACACAGCTTCTTCACGACATGACGGCAGCAACAATACTACAGCGAGAATAAGTGTTGCGCCTTCTTACTTTGCGTGAACATTTGGGCGG